TTGGAAACAACCTAAGTGCCCATCAACAAACGAATGGATAGAGAAGCTGTGGTATATTCACACAATGGAATACTACGCTGCACTGAAAAACAAGGAACTCATGCAATAGTATTCAGAACGGGTGACCCTGGAGGACATTATGCTGAGTGAAATATTTCAGTCACAAAAGAACAAATACTGTAGTGCCACTGCTGTAAAACTGGAATGACATCAGGGTTTGAGGAAGACTGAGAAAGATGGGATAAATTATACCGCATTGAAACAGAGGAGGGAGAGAATTGTTTAAAAGGGATATGTGATTTGGTATCACATGACAGCTGTCCAGAACGAAGGCTGCATAGTTAAGTGGACCTGGGGGTAGGGATTGTAAACAATGAAAGAATTTTTCTTTTACTTTTCAAAGAGAAGAGTGGGGGTTGGGGTGCAACAGTGAGCAAATGGAAACCCACAGTCTCTGTAAATTTTCATTAAAATAATAATAAAAAAACTTTTTTAAAAGAAAGTGATCCAACAGAGTGTGGAAATTATTGAATAATATCACATGCGAGCAAAATCCTGCTGAAGATTATCCAAAAGCAACTAGAACTGTACAATGACAGAGAACTATCAGTTCTGGGTTTAGAAGCAGCTGTGGCACTAGAGACATTACAGTCAATGTCAGGTGAATCTTGGCCAAATGCAGAGAGTACCAGAGGAACATCTATCTGTGTTTCAAAGATATCACATTGTGTAGATTGTAACAAATTGTGGCTAACCTTGAGGAGAATGGTAATTCCAGAACACCTGATTGTGACTGCAAAACCTATACTTGGACCAGGAAGTAGTGATCAGAGCAGAGCAAGGAAAACACTGCATGGATCAAATTCAGAAAAAAAATGTGTTAGGGATGTGTCCTGTCTCCATACATTTTCAATCTGTATACAGAAAAGATCATTGGAGGGAGCTCTGGTGGCCTAGTGGCAAGAAGTTGCACAGTTTGAATACACTGAGGAAGGAAGGGCAATCTCCTCCTGTACCAGTCAGATCCAGTTTGATGGTACACACACAAAAAATAATAATAATTTTAAAAAGATCATTCGAGAGGCTGGACTTTATGAGGAGGAATGTGGCATCAGGATTGGAGGAAGACTCATCAACACTCTGTGTTATGCAGATGATACAACCTTGCTTGCTGAAACTAAGAGGGCCTATAGTATTTGCTGTAGGTGGTTAAGGACTGTAGTTGCAATATGGATTGAAATTCAAGATCAAGAAAACAAAGATTCTCACCACTGGGCCAACTGGCAGCATCATGTTAGATGGAGAAGTGCTTGTTAACAATTTCAGCTTGCTCAGTTCCCCAATCAACACTCCTGGCACAAGCAGTTGGGGAAATCAGAAGACAAACTACATTAGGAAAATTTGTTGTCAGGGACCTCTCTAGAGTTTGGAAGAGCAAGGTTGTCAGTCTAGAGTCTAAGGTGCACCTGATCCAAGTCATGGTCTTTGCAATTACTTTCTATGCATCAGAGAGCTAGACAATGGCCAAGGATAACAGAAGAATTGATAATTTTTTATTTGAGTTGTGGTGCTGGAGAAGAGTTCTGAACATAAAATAGTTGGCCAAGAGAGCAAGTCTGTCCTGAAGATGGTAAAGTCAAGCTGCTCCTTGAAGGCAAGGGTTTTGAGACTCTGTCTCACATATTTTGGGCATGTAGCCAGGAGGCACCAGACAGCAAAGGAGAGGAAGACCCCAGATGAGACGGACTGCCACAGTAACTGGGGCAATGATGACAGGTGTATTGGAGGTGGTGTGACTGGCTCAGGACAGAGCAACGTTCAGAGCTGTTGAGCATAGGATCACTGAAGCATTGCTGACTTGACAGCACATACTAACATCTCCTAGAGACACCTCTGTGAAGGTTCTCTGTTCAGCAAAAGCTTCTCGATACTCTATATATGGCAAAAAAAACCCCTATTACCTTTGGAAAATTCTTCTCTTAAACAATTCAGAATGAACTAGCAGACACACTGTTAACAGAGCATAGAAAGTATCAGGGCAGTAGAGAGGCTGGTCCTGCTGGGCTGAGCCTACTTGAAAGGCACTGCAGGGTCACACAGTACCTAGCTGATCTCAAGTGCCTCTCCATGGGGTACACCTATCCTACAGATCCTTACTGTAACATCTGCAGGAAGGGAACACAGTTCTCCTGGTCTTTAAAGACTCACAACAAATTCAACCTCTAAATCTTTCTGCCCTGCTCCTTTCCAAATCAGGAACTTTATTTACTAAAATGCTACAGCAAAGCTACCCTGCCAAATCAAAATAAACTGAAAGAAAAAAAAACCACACACCAAATCAAAATGGTAATGGTTTGTATTTTGCTGTGTTTTCCAAATTTTACAAAATGAGCATATTTAACTTTTAAAATAAGTGCTAACAACGACCAAAAAAACCCCACAAAACCGAAACTAGTTGTTTCCCAAGGAAAAAAGTAAATGGGTTTTTTGGTTTTGTGTATGTGTACCATCAAATCAGATCCAGCTGGTACAGGAGGAGATTGCCCCTCCTTCTCCAGTGGAGCATCTGGTGGATCAAACTGAGTGCCTTTGGGATTGCAGTGCAGCTTCTTGCCACTAGGCCACCAGAGCTCTCTTGAAAAGTTTAAGTTCTGACATGAGCTTTGGTGCTGGAGAAGAGTACTGAGGGTACCACGGACTGCTAGGAAAACAAACAGATTCATCCTGGAAAGGGTCAAACTGGGCTGCTCCTTGGAGGCAAGGATTCTGAGGCTCCGTCTAACATACTCTGGACATGTTGCAAGGAGGGACAGGTCCTTGGAGAGGGACATCATGCTTGGTAGGGTGGAGGGACAGTGCAGAAGGGGAAGGCCCCCTATGAGGTGGATTGATTCAGTGATTGGGGTAATCGGGATGCGTGTGTCAGAGACGGTGCGATTGGCACAAGACAGAGCAGAGTTTAGGGCTGCTGGACATAGGGTCGCTATGAGTTGGAAGCGACTCGACGGCACAGAACAACAACATGGTATTAACAAAATGTTAATCTCCTACATAATAAAGATATAAAATAAGAAACACCTTGTGTAACATTTGACAAACAGCAAATAGTCTGAATGGAGCAGTGAAATTTTTAGTGATTCTAAACTTAGTTACAGAAGTATAGTCTTAATGTTAAGTTTCAACAAGTAAGAGAGAAATGAAAATAAGTCTGTTACAGAGTACACTGTTACCTTATACTGCTCCGGGACTGGTGTAGTGCACTTGTAGGAGTAATCCAAGCCCATCTCCCCGAAGGCCACAGCCTTAGGATGCCTCAAGGCCTGCAGCAGATTCCTCTCTTGACTCTCACTGTAATAGCGTGCAAAGTGAGGGTGACAGCCAAAAGCCCCCCAAACAAGGTCTTCCTTCAGCAGCTCCTCCCACAGGCAATCTGTGAGTGTCCGAGGATCACAGAAGTCAGAGATACAGCCCTGAAACTCCTTTGGGAAGGAGTTGCTGTAAATCTTTCTGAATTTGGTAAAGGTCCCTTTAAAAGATAACTTGGAGTAGAGCATGTCCAAATGACAATGGGTGTCAATGAATCCCTCCTCAAGACTTAGCTTCCGATGGCTTCTTGGCAGGCCACTGGATGCAGGTCTTTCACAAGGATATGATGTTATTTCCTCTTGGAATATTCTTTTCTCCTTTATCTCTTCATCTTCCAAACTTCTGGAAAAATGAAATGAACGTGAATTCTGGGACCTGCCTTCTTCAGTCACTTCCACATCCCTGCATGAATTCTGGGAGTTCACTGTCGATTTGGGGGAGTAATCACTCAGGAGGCGCCGGCTGCTCCTTGCCTGGGATGTGTCATTGCTGCTGTTGCCCACAGAGAAATAGCTGGAAGTCTTCGGACTCTCTGTCCAGCAGCTGGCATAGTCACACCAAGGACTACTGTACAAATGAGGTGGGTACATGACATAGTCAGTGGTGAAGGCTGAAGGCTCTGGAACTGCTGAAAGTTTCAGTGAGACTGGCTCTTCCTGAGAAAATCGGACTGCAGAGACCTCATCCACGTCTGACCAGTCACTTCCTGAAGAGGGGTGTTCTAGGACCACTTCCCTTTCTTTCTGCTGCAGAAGAGAAAAGAAATAATGCACCAAACAATAAAAACAGAAACACAAAGCAAAGAAATAATGAGTTAATCTTCTGCTCTAAAGATAACCTCCCATCCTCAGCCATCAGCAAGTGAGAAATTCTGGTTTGTTTCTCTGGCCACGGCAATGCTTTGCTTTTACCAGACAGTATACCTGGTCATTAGGTTTCCTCTTAAGGCTTACTCTACAGGTTCCAGCTGTGAATAGTCTTAAGATTAGCCTACAACCATGATCTCAAAATGCTATCACAATAGAGTTCTACCTGCATTTCCTTTGTGAGTGATGTCTGTTGAGAAAAACTGCTCTTTAGAGTACATTCTTATGGAGATTTTGGAGAAATCCTGTGTCTACCATCCCAAAATTGATGTCTTCAATATATTCAAAGTGAAAAACCACAAGAGTGATGGATTTAAACAGCATCTACCAATTGAACTAAACTCCCGCACTGAGGGGTAGAAGTCTATCGCCCCTTTCCTTGCACCTGGACCAACCTAACAGCTGTTAACCAACAGAATGCAGTGGAATGACAGCGTGTAACTGCCATGGCTAGCTCAAATCCAGCCTTGTAGCTGTGCCAAATTTTAGTTGTAGAAAGACACAATCAGTGTTTAGAAGTCTGAAGAGAAAAAATAAAAAAGAAGTCTGACCATCTTGCTAGAGAGGCTACATGTAGATGTACCATAACTGCTAAGACATCAGCTACTAGCCTCCTGAGAGCAACTCTGCCATACAGCTCAGCAGGGCTAATTACCAACTGCAGGCCCCACAACATCCGTATGAAACCATGTGAGAGACCTTCAAAAGAGTTAGGTCCAGCCTGCATTCCCTGACTCACAAAATGACACCAAAGTAAAGCAGCTGTTTTTGTGTGGTTTTGTGGTTTGTGAGGGTTTTTTTGTTTTTTCTTCCTTCTTAATGGTAGAGATTCCCTTGGAATCTCATTTTTTAAAAAATTTTTATTGCAATTTTAATGAAAGTTTACAGAAATATTGGATTTTCATTCATTCATTGTTGCATTTTCCTTCCTCCCTCCCTCTTCCCAGTTCACTTAAAAAAAAAAGCTTATTTATTGTTGCACAATTTCCTCTCTCTGTCCCTTCTTCTCCCCCTTAAAGCAGCTATTTTAAGCCACTAAGTAGCAGTGGTAATGGGAACTATTACACTTTGCATTAAATCCCCTTAACCCTGCTAAAACAAGGATGAAGAGCCTTTGTCTCATATACCCTGAGCATGTTATCAGAAAGGACTAGTTCCTGTGGAATGACATCATGCTTGGTAAGGGTCAACAAAGAAGGAAACTTTCAACAAGATAAAATGAATGCATGGCTGGAAGGGTGTCCTCTAGCACCGCACAGACCCAGGCAGCTGCTTTCACTGTTTCACAGTAACTGAGTCAGAACCAGCCTATACACAATCAGGATATTTCGCCCCCCCCCCCCCCCCCCCGCTCCTTCAGTAATGTATACCATACATCAAAAACAATGCCCAATCTACAACTAGCAGAGGATAAAATAGATGGGACCTTCTAAGAATCAAATCCCTATGCACATCCAAAAACTTCAACAGGGTAAATAAAAAGGGAAGCCACAGACTAGGAAAAAGTATTTGGTAATGACATGTCAGGTAAGGGACTGATATCTAAAATTTATAAAATACTCAAGCACCACAACCAGTTAAAGGTAAACAGCCCAATTGAAAAATGGGCAGAGGATATGAACAGACACTTCACCAAAGAAGACATTCAGATGGCAGACACATGAAGAAATGTTCAAAATCCCTAGCTCTAAGAGAGACGCAAATTAAAACAACTATTGTTTTGCAGAAACTGGGTTATATGAAAAATATGGGATCAGAATTGGAGGAAGATGCAGACTGATACAACCTTGCTTGTTTTAAATTCGGGATAAGACAGACTCAAGGTTGTATTTTGGTTCTCAGAGACTTGCTTTTATTTTTTTCACTTCAATGTGAACTTGAATATGAGTCACTGTCAATCTCTGTTCCACAGTCAACCCTTAGTCTTGTTTTGACTGCTGATAGTGTGTTTTTTTCACTCACGCTTTCTAGAATTATTGTCAGTCTGATTCTTGTGTAGTAAATCAAGTTAAGTCCATGTGTACCACCACTGTTTGTTTTTTTAAAAAAATGGTATTTGCAATGACTAAATCATTTATTTTAATTGTGCAAAATTCTATTATTCAATCTCCAGCCTCACTTCTGTCACCAAGTGCATATTTCCCAACTCCCACTCTTTTGTTTCCAACTTTAGCATTCCAGTTACCAATTATTATTAATGCATGTTGACTGTATATTCCGTCAATTTCAGACTGCAAAAGTTGATAGCAATTCTGGCTTCATTTTTGGCTTCACTGGTTGGTGCATACTATTATGTGCCACCCAGTTGACTCATAGTGACCCTATGCACAATAGCTCTTAACCCTGCCCTACTTGAGCAAATCTCCTTGTCTCTGACACACCAGTTACTAAGTAAATCCAGGGTTTTCCTCTCCTGCATTGTCCCTCCACCATTCCAAGCATAATATTGTCCTCCAAGGGCGGTCCTTCCTGGCAACAAGCCTTCAAAATCCTTGCCTCCAAAGAGCAACGTGGTTTCATTCCCTCCAGGAAAAACCCGTTCATTCTCTTGGCAGTCTGTGGTAGGTTCTCTTTTCTAGCACCACAACTCAAAGGCATTGATTCTTCAATTAATAGTTGTGTTAACAAGTCTATGTGAAAGACTTTACAAGTCTATCCTTTCTAGACTTTAGTCTATCTAGTCTATCCTATCTAGGCTTTACAAGTCTATCCTTTCACTCAGAATTGTACTTCAGGATAGATCTTCTTTTTTTTAAAAAAAATATTTTATTCTTTATTTGTGTGTACCATCAAATCAGATCTGACTAGTACAGGAGGAGATTACCCCTCCTTCTTCAGGAGAGCATCTGGTGGATTTGAACCACATATTTCTGGGATTGCAGTGCAGCTTCTTACCACTAGAACTCCCTTAGGCTAGATCTTGAAATGTTGTTTTTGACTACAAATGTACCACTATTGTAGTGTCTTTCAATCTGAGGGACTCTATTTTCTGAGATTACAAATAATAATGTTATACTCTATTATCCATAGGGTTTTCAAAGGTCTTTTATTTTAGAAGTAGATGGCCAGTCTTTCTTCTCAGTCAGTCTTAGTCTTAAAGCTCTGCTGAACTCTGTCTAGTATGAATGACCCTGCTGGTATTTGAAACACTAGTAGTATAGCTTCCAGCATCACCATACACAAGTCAACCCAGTACAGCAAACTGACAGACAAGTGCTGTACCTATAAATGCAAACTCTGTACAAGTAAGCTTATACATAAACTCTATATAATAAGCAGCAACACACAAATCAACCCCATTACAGATAATTGCTGTACCCAATAAAGCAAATCATAAAACAAATATGCATACATGTATCATAAACTAAACATGTATGCTATGGGAAATAAAAACCTAACTATTTGACCTGGGACAGTTGTCTACCACCCAGCAAAGACTGGAGTTGGAGTGCCTTTGTACAGAACAAATGCAATGCAGAGGTGGCTGAGTCTGACTTCCAGCCATTTCACAAAGGGGAACCGTCCCCATCAATAATATTAATAACATCAAACAGCTACTATATCAAACACACCACCCTCCTTGCTCCAACACCTATTTCCACCAATCAGTGGGTTCGATACTTGTACTTTACTCACAGTTGTGGTACCCAGAATGGGGTTTATTAGGGAAGAAAGTTGGAAAGCAGAGGAGGCAAAGAATATCACCCAATGCAAGTCTAGGCTTCAGCCCAGCTGTCCCAAGCCAGATTAACAGTGAAATACAATTTCCAGTTAGTAAAAGTCCTGGTTCAGTTCAGTAGCGTAAATCCCAATCATCCAGCAAAGTGTGCCTCAGAACAGTTACAAGTCAGCTTCTTCTTCGATCACTGGAAAGAACAGTGAAACTTTCAACAGTGTCCTTTATCTCAGAGCTCTTCTGGACACACCTTGCCACCGTTTGTTTCTCCACAGCAAAGCCAAAGTCTTGCCAAGTCTTGCCACCATAGTCTCGCTCTCACCAGGGTCTTGCTCCATTCTGCCTCAAGTCTTGCTGCTCAGTGTGTGAAGCACTCTCTCTCGCAATCTCTCTCTCTTATCCTTAGACACACAGTTGTTGACGATGTGCAAAGGCCATGTGTCTACCATTAAGACAGACAGAGACCAGAGGGGGCTAATGCTAGAAAAGCCAACTTTTAAGCTACATCACTATGCCCAATCAGGTCAGAGTTTCTACTCATCTAAGTGGTAAGATACATATAAATCAAAACCTCAATGAGGTGCTTGAAAACCTACTAGGTTAGTTATGATCAAAACAAGAAGTGTTAGGAAGGATGTGGAAAAATTGGAACCCTCATCTGTTGCTAAAAAGAATGAAAAACAGTACAGTTAAAAACAAATCAGCAGTTCCTCTAAAAGTTAGATGTAGAATTACCATGACTCCACTTTTAAGTATATATACAAGTGACCTGAAAGTAGGAATACAGATACTTACATGCTAATATTCAATCCAGTACTATTCATAAAAGACAAAATGTAGCATAAAATAAGAGTATTACTCAGCCATAAAATCCTGATACATGATACAATATGGATGAACCCAGAAAAACATTGTGCTGAGTGAAAAAAATCAGTTATAACAGGAGAAATATAATAAAATCCCATTTATTATTTAGAATAAGCAAATGCAGCTTATTAATGAAGCTTATAAGTGAGGCTTATTAATGTTACCAGAAGTGGGAGTGATGTTAGAAAAGAGTGACTATGTAAGTGTTAATAAGTTTTTTCATTATAATGATTAATCTGAAAACTTACAGTAGTCTTGGCTGTACATCAATAAACGTGTAAAATGCTGAACTGGAAAATATGTTATTCTATATTCTTATTGACACAATAAAAAAAAA